GTTTTCGACGTGCCATCTGCAGCGTTCCGTGGTCACTGCTGGCCGGGGACCCACGAGTCACACTTTCACCTCTCTTACTCAGTATGATACTTACGGGAAGTCCTAGCCACAGCAATCAGACAATAAGAAGTAAAAGGCATCTAAATTGGAAAGAAGGAAGTAAAACTGTCTTTATTTGCAGATGATGTGATACTGTACATAGAGAACCCCAAAGAAACTACCAGAACTGACAAGTGAATTCAGCAAAGTAGCAGGATACAAAATTAATATCCAGAAATCAGTTGCATTTTTATATGCCAATAACAAACTAACAGAAATGGACATTAATTAAACAATCCCATTCACAATTGCTTCAAAAAGAATAAGATACCTAGGAATAAACCTAACCAAGGATGTGAGAAACCTATATTTGGAAAATTATAGGGCACTGAGAAAAGAAACTGAAGAAGACACGAGTAAGTGGAAGCATATACCATGTTCACAGATAGGAAGAATTAACATCATTAAAATGTCCATACTACCTAAAGCAATATATAGATTCAACACAATTCCTATCAAGAGTCCAATGACATATTTACAGAACGAGAACAAATATTTCAAAAATTTATATGGAACCACAAAAGGCCCCACACAGCAACAGCAATCCTGAAAAAGAAGAACAAAGTTGGAAAAATCATGCTACCTAGCATCAAACTATACTATAAGGCCATAGTCATCAAAACAGCATGGTACTGGCATAAAAACAGACACATAGATCAATGGAACAGAGTAGAGAGCCCAGAAATAAACCCACACCTTCACAGTCGATTAACAGTCAACAAAGGAAGCAAGCACATACAATGGACTAAAGAAAGTTTATTCAATAAATGGTGTTGGGAAAACTAGAAAGATAAGTGCAGAAAAATTAAACTAGACCACCTTCTTACACCACACACAAGAATAAATTCAAAATGGATCACATACTTAAAAGTTACAGTCGAAACCATAAAAATCCTAGAAGAAAACACAGGCAGCAAACGTCAGACATTGCTGGTAGCAATTTTTTATTGGATATGTCTCCCCAGGCAAGGGAAACAAAAGAAAAAATAAACAAATGGGACCATATCAAACTAAAGTGTTTTTGCACAGCAAAGGGAATCTTTAATAAAATAAAAGGACAACCCACAGAATGGGGGAACATATACACTGATACATCTGTTAAGGGCCTAATATCCAAAACTTATAAAGTATTTACAAAATTCCACACCAAAAAAAACCCCCCAAAAAACCCAATTAAAAAACGGGCAAAGGACCTGAATAGACATTTCTCCAAGGAGGACATACAGATGACCAATGGACATGTGAAAAGATGCTCAACCTCACTAATCATCAGAGAAATGCATATTGAAACCACAATGAGATATCATCTCACACCTGTCAGGATGGCTATTATCAACAAATCAACAATCAACCAGAGCTGGCGAGGACGTGGGGAAAGGGGAGCCCTTCCTCACTGCTGGTGGGGATGCAGACTGGTGCGGCCACTGTGGAAAGCAGTACAGAGACACCTCAAAAAATTAAAACTGAATCTGCCTTTTGACCCAGCGATCCCACTTCTGGGAATATATCTGAAGGAATCCAAAACACCAATTTGGAAAGAACACGAGACCCCTATGTTCACTGCGGTGTTATTTATAATCACCAAGATATGGAAGCAGCCCACGTGTCCATCAATAGATGAGTAGATAAAATCAACTATGGGACATTTCCATAATAGAATACTGCTCAGCTATAAAAAAGAAGAAAATTTTACCCTTTGCGACAGCATGGATGGGCCTGGAGAACATGATACTAAGTGAAAGAAGCCAGTCAGAGAGAGACAAATGCCACATGATCTCACTCATATGTGGGCCCTAAGGAACAAAGTGAACTAACAAGGAAAATGGGGACAGACACGTAGATGGAGAGCAGGTGACAGCTAGTGGGGGGCATGGGTACGAGGTGGAGGGACTGAGCAAAACGGAAAAAGGACTCATGGACACGGACACCAGTGTGGTGATTGCTGGGGGGGAGGGGCTATAAGGGGACTAAATGGTAAATGGAAAAATACAATAAAGATTGAGTAAAATACAGAAAAATAAAAAATAAAATACTGTTAGAACTAATAAATGAATTAAGTTGTAGGGTATAAAATCAATATACAGAAATCAGTTGCATTTCTATACACTACCAATAAGTTGTATGAAAGAAAAATTAAGAAAGCAATCACATTTATAATAGTATTGAAAACAATAAAACACTTGGGGATAAATTTAACCAAGGAGGTGAAAGACCCATATACTGAAAACTGTAACACACTGGTGAAAGAGATTAAAGAGGACACACATAAATGGAAAGATATCCCATGTTCATGAATAAGAAGAATTAATATGGTGAAAACACCCAGACCAGCCAAAGCAAGCTAGAGATTCAATGCAATCCTGATAAAAGTTCCAATGGCATTTCCCACTGAAATAAACTACTCTAAAATTTGTTTAGAACCACAAAAGGCCCCAAGTAGCCAAAGCAATTCTGAGAAAGAAGAACAAAGTTGGAGGTACCACTAGACCCGATGTATCATATTACATATCGCAGAGCTACAGTGATCCAAACAGCATGGTACTGGCATAAAAACAGGCACACTGATCCATGGAACAGAACAGAGACCCAGAAATAAGCCCTCCCCAAAACAGCCCGCTCACTTGTGACAAGGGCGCCACGAACACACAATGGGGAGAAGGCAGTCCCTTCGATAAATGGTGCTGGGAAAACCGGGTTCACATGTGGAAGAATAAACGCCCATCTTACACCGCTCACAACGATGAACTCGAATGGATCCAAGATTTCAGAGTAAGACCCGAAACATAAAACTCCTACAAGAAAACACAGGGTAAAACACCCCTGCCACCGGTCAAGGCAACGGCGGCTCGGCTAAGGCACAAAAGCACAGACAACAGAAACTGCAGCAAACACGTGGATGACATTAAACTAAAGAGCCCTGCGCAGAGCAAAGGAAACCACCACCAGGACAACCTACAGAGCCAGAGAAATGGTCACAAACCACATACTGAGTAAGAGACGTGACAAAGAACTCGTACAACTCAACAGCAAAAGATAAAAACCTTTACAACTCAATAGCGAGCGAGTGAGAGAGAGAGAGGGAGAAAGAGAAAGAAAGAGAGAAAGAGAAAGAGAGAAAGAAAGAAAGAAAGAAAGAAAGAAAGAAAGAAAGAAAGAAGAGAAAGAATCCAATTAAAATTGGGCTCAGGGCCTGAAAAGGCATTTTTCCAGGCTTACAAACAGCCAACAGATACATGGAAATGTGCTCAGCGTCACTACGCATCAGAGAAAGCCATTTAAACCATAATGAGATGGTTTATATGAAACCAGTGTAAGTGGTTTTTGATGGTGAACGCCGGCGTGGATGCGGAGAAGGGGAGCCCTTGTGCACGGCCGGTGGGAACGAAAATCAGGGCAGCCGCCGGAAGACGAAATGGCAGTTCCTCAAAAGACCAACAACCGAACCACCACAGGATCCAGCAACTCCTCTTGTGGGTGCGTCTCCAAAAGAAACGGAAACAGAGTCTTGAAGAGAGACGTCTGTATCCCCGTGTTGGCTGCTGCACTAGTCACAACGGCCAAGAGAGAAAACAACCCAAGTGTCCATCACAGATGAACGGATAAAAGAGATGTGCTCTACCCAATGGAATACTATTCAGCCACGAGAAAGAAGGAAGTCCTGCCATTTGCAACAGTGTGGACGGATGTTAAAGGTATTATGCTAAGTGAGGCAAGTCTGACAGAGAAAGACAAGTACTATGCATCACTTGTATGTGGATTCTTAAAAAACGAAACCTATGAAAGCGGCGCAGAAGGGTGGTGGCGGGGGGGGGGGGCTCAGTGGGGGGGACCCGGGGAGAGGTGGTTTAGGGCACAAAGAGCAGATGGATCGGTTCTGGGGACGCAACACACGACGCGGCGTCTGGAGCCCATGCTGTCACACTGGGAACCTCAGAGCTGCTGACAGCCTCGACCTGCACTGGCCTCCACACAGAGGAAAGGCCAGTAAACATGGGATGCGACGGGGGTCGTCCAACCCCCCTGTAGCGATCGTACTGCGTTTATAACTGTGTCAGACCGACGCACTGTACGCGTCACACTTACACAATGTGGCGCGTCAGCTATGTCTCAATAAGAAGAAAGGAAAAAATGAAGCCTTCGTGGAATACAGAATTTCAGCCAGACCCCGACGGCAGAGTGGTAACTTCATCCGAACCAGGGCCGGCCTGCTGCCCCCTCCCCCGCCGCCCCCTGGTGGCCGCTGGGAGGAGCCAGAGAAGGGGCCCCTGAGCCAGGCCTCTGGGTCCTCGTGGTGGTTTTTTAAACTCAGAAGGGGACTAAAATCTGACCGTGTACTGGGGTTACCTGTTTTTAAGTTTCACTTACTGGGAGATATTTCTTGAACAGGCTCGTTATTTAACTAGTTTCACCTGATTAAATACGGGTCCCAGTGATCGCCGGTCAGAATAAATCACAGTCTTAGCCCCTAGTGGTTGCGGTCGGCAGTAATTCACAGCCGAGTCTACGCTCAGACCTCAGACCACATGGTGATTCTTAGAGTTATTTCGTATTGCACACAATTGCACATTTGTACTACTTCCCCGCTTTCAAAGCAGTCTGTGCCTCGAATTCTTCACATCTGTGTTGGTTTTAGGTCCCTCGTTTAAATGCTATCCTCACATCTGGGCTCCCCCTGACGGCTGTGGTGACCCCTCGCACTGATGTGCCAGTTTTTGCACCCCCCCGCCGTGAGAGCTCCCCTTGCACTGATGTGCCAGTTCTCAAACACACACCCCCGTGAGAGCTCCCCCTCGCAACTGATATGCCACTTCTTGAGCGCCCTCCAGTTAGAGCTCCATGGCTGGTGGCACACCTGTGACCCAGATGTCTGCACCTGGCCGGGCGCCAGGCCCCACACCTACCTTTCCCGCACTCGGCACACAGGTACTCCCGGATGTTATCGTGCACGCGCATGTGTTCCTTCAGCATGTCCTTCCGCGCAAAGGACTTCCCGCACTGCTCGCAGGCGTGGCTCTTCACACCTTACAGACAAACGCAACCAAATTTGAGGCCCGTGAGACCCGCATCCGTGGTCGCAGCATCAAGGCAGTAACCAGGAGGGAAGGCGGGCCCCCTGCAGCTGGAAGCAAGGAGGCAGCCCGAGGACTGCAGGGGTGACGGGCAGGGGGCGGCCATGCTGGGAGTGGATGAGGGGCCCGGATGGGAGGAGCCGGGGACAGCAGAACGCAACAGGAGGGGACGACGCAGGGCTGCTCTGCAGAGGCGGCCAGTGCGCCGGGCCAGCCCCCGGCCCAGCCCCCGGCCCGGGGCCTGGGGGGACACCTACCCGTGTGAATGAGTTTATGCCGCTCCAGGTTCCCGATGCTGTTGAAGATCCGCCCGCAGATCTCGCATGGGTGGATGTACCTGGAACCGGACCAAAGCCTCAGGGCGGCCCGCAGCGGCGGGGACCCCTGTCCCGGGCACCGCGATCGGAACAGGCGGGACCGAAAAGGTGCCATGGAGCTGGCCACGGACACAGAGATTCTAGCGCTATCAGGGGCTTCATGCGACCGCCACTCAAACCCACGTCTATGCCCGAACCCCAGCTCCCCCAAACACGACTGGATCTGGAGGCTGGGTCTAACAAGGGAGCGGGAAGAAACGAGGTCCCTGGAGGAGGCCCCACTCCAGTGCGACTGGCGTCCTCACGAAGAGGCGAGATGTGGACGGGGAACAGGGACGACTCTGAGGACACAGGGAGACGGCCAAGTGCGAGGCAAGGAGAGGGGCCTGGAGCAGGTTCTCTCTCCGGCCGCCCAGGGGAAGCAGCCCTGAAACATGGCGATCTCAGGCTCCGCCTCCGGAATTGGGACAGCCTGCTCCTGCTGTTCCCACTGCCCAGCCTGCGGCCCTTTGCTGGCTACTGCAGCCGCCGCCCACCACTCACTCGCTCGGGCTCGGGGCCCCGAGTCTGGGCTGCAGCCAGACACGGGGCTGCCAGTCAGGGACCCTGATCACTGGGGGAGGGGCTTCTGGTGGCTCCACAGGCCTGGACGGCGGCCAGTCACAGGGGGTCCTGGCAGGGAGGGGGTATGCGGGCCCGGGGCAGGACTAGCGGACAACAGGATCAACGGGGACCCGGCCGGGGCTGGCAGAGCGGGCGGACTGGCCCGTTCCAGCGCCGCTGCCCGCGCCTCCCTCGGCCCCCACCCAGCGCTGCAGCCCACAGCCCGGGCCTCACTTCTGCACGTTGGGGTCCGGCAGGTTCTCGCGGTGGATGACCATGTGGGCGTGGTAGGTGGCCTTCAGGGCGAAGCGCCGGTTGCAGGTGCTGCAGCCGTAGCCCTTCTCCTTGTGCACCTCCATGATGTGCTTCAGGTACTCCTTCCCCCGGCCGAAGGTGAGCTGCGGACAGGCCCACGGCTCAGCCCGCGTGCAGCCCGGCCCCCGAGGCTCAGCACGCACTGCCACCCACCAGGGCGCAGGGACGCCCGTGAGAGCCCGTCACCCTGACAGGTGCGGAGGGGGCTCTTAGGGGCAGGGGCAGCGCCGGGCCAGACTGCAGCGAAAGGACTGTGAGGAGTGGACCCAGCGCCCCCTGGGCCCCCTGGCAGATCCCGGCCTCACAGCCTCCTCTCCACCCACCTGACCTCCCTGTCTCTCACCCCCACCTGATGCAGGTGCAGGGCCAGGTGCCTGGAGGAGCACACAGGTGCCGGTGCTCACAGGGAACATGGGCACCTGCACTCGACAGGGCATGACCTGCGCTTTCCTGAGCAGCGGAGCCCCGAGCAGGGACCACGGAGCGTCCGGCCAGCTGCTGAAAATGGAGCCCAGGGTCCCCTGAGAACAAAACCGCTGCCTCTGAGCAAGGCCCCCTACCACGTGTGGGGCGGGCGGTGGCGAAGGGCCACTGGCCTGAGACGGGGGAAGGGGAGGCCCCGTCCACGGCCGCCCTTCACGGAGCCAGACGTCCCCCTGGTTAGCCACCCGGCCGTACTCAAGCCAGTCAGGAGAGTGGTTCTGAGGGATGGTCCACGTGACAGCCGTGAGACCACACTCCACCCCTAAGAACGGTGACATGGGGCGGCCTTTCAGGACACCTGTGACAAGGCCCACATGAATGGGGGAGGGGCCGGGCCAGGCTCCCAGAGCCTGAGCCTGAGCCTGAGGGGTCTGGCGGCCCTGCACCCGAGCCTCCTGTCCTGACGCCCCGAGCCGTCGGGTTACCTGACACCTTTTGCAGCTGTACTTGTGAGGCTCCGAGTCTGCGCTCTCATCAGAATTGTCGTCGTTTTCCTCCGAGGAGATCCCGATCTTGCCGATGAACTCTTCCCTTTGGTGGTCGTCCATCAGCGCGATGTCCTGCAAAGGTCGCAGAGGCCGGTTTCCGACACGCCCGGGGACGGGCAGGCAGTCCTGCGAGCTCCCTGTGTGGGGCACGAGTGGCCCACCCCAGCTCCCCGATGGCAAACCCGCGGGCCCCTGCCGGCATTCAGAGACCTGCCGTGCCTGGGGCCGACCCCACCAGGGGGTGAGGGCGGGCAACAGTGCACTCCCTGACCCCTGAACTTGGGAACACCTAAGGCCCCGGCCTCAACGGTGGCTTCTGTCAATGGGGGGGACTCTAAGGTCTCTTTCCATGTGACGTGATGGTTACCACCCCCAAGTTCCTAAAGTGCCATTGACTTCTCCAAAAAAGAAACACTGGACAGTCCTGCCACAGGCCGGAGACACCCAGGGAGGGGCAGCTGTGGGGGGTGAGCCTGGGAGCTGAGGGAGCGGAGTTTCAGGGGGTCAGCGGCCACGTCTGGAATGGAGGAGGGCTGGCCATGCCTGGCGGTCAGCTCCCGGTCTCAGCCACTCCTTCCGACGGCCGCAGGGGCCGTCGGCCACTCTCCCCACAACTGCCCACTTTCAGGCGGCGGCTGCCAGGACGCATGGCACTGCTGGCCAGGTTTCGCCAGGAAGCAAAACTAGGATGCTGGGGCAGTGACGGAGGGGGGTTGGCGGAAGCAGCGTCCCAGCGGAAAGTTCTCCATCCTCTCTCCCCCCGGCTCCCTCCGGCCGAAGCACAGAGATTTCCCCCGGGGCTGCAGCTGCACTTCTTCTACGGGAAACCCCCACGTTGGCACCAGCTGATCGCCCACTCTCCGTCAGCAGAGGAAGGGCAACACTCGGAGAAGAGCCAGCCCCAGGAGCACGAGCAGCCGTCGGGGCCACACGCTGGCGGCACTCAGACCCGCCAGGCCCTCTGCCTCCGTTGGGTTCAGGCTGACCCCCAGAGAAACCCACCTCCCGTGGCAGGGCTCAGGGCCCCGTCTCGCAGAGGGAAATGCGGGGGCTCCAAGGGTGGCAGGACTAGCACCCACAGGTCCCCACTGGGGACCCCCACCATCTCTCAGACCCGCCCAGTGAGACCCCGGCCTGTGCCGGGGCTGGGAACTGCCCCAAACAAGCACTGAGCTGCAGGCTGGCGGGGGTCTCCAGGGAGGGGGCTCCCAGCTGCATCTGGGTCTCAGCACCCTCATCACCTCCTCGTTGTCCTTCAACTGGCTCTTCCCCCCGACCCTCAATGATGACCCCAAGTTCTCGCTGCCCCCCACCCAGCTCCGGCCCCCTCCTTGCTGTCCTCAAAGGCAGGGAGGAGGAGGGCAGCAAATGCCACCCTCCCCACCCCCGGGCCTGGCGGGAAGAGCTTTAACAGGGGCCCTGCGTGGGGCTGCAGGAGACCATGGACAGTGGAGTGGAGTGGGTGAGGACGCGGCCAGAGGGCCGCGGGGCCCCGCGGGGTCTGCCGGGAAAGGGGCTGCCACCACCGGCACCTTGAAGTGGACGTGGATGTGGTCCCTGAGCACGTCCACGCGGAAGAACTTGCGGCCGCAGATCTCGCAGGTGTACTTCTTGTCGCCGTGGGTCAGCAGGTGCTTGTTCATGTTGCTCCTGCAGGAGAACACCTGCGGGCCGAAGGGGCAGGCGTGAGGCGCCTCCCACAAACACCGGGCTTCTCCGCAGAAACCACAACCAGACACACGCCGTTTCCTTCCGTTTTCTCCGGAGAAGGCCCACAGAAATTGGGAAATGCTGCCACAGGGCAGCAGGCTGGGCCGAGCTGCCACCGGCTGGCCGTCTGGCTGAGGCCGTCGCTCCTCTAGTGCCCGCCCCGGGGCCCCCCCAGCGCCCGGCGGTTCACGTGGGCTGCACGTGGCTGACTCAGAAACTGGACCCAAACACGGGCCAGTGGACACGTCCCCCCACACCCCCTGCGTGTGTTGGCGCAGAGTCCGCTGGGGACCCCCCGGGACCCCCCCCCCCGCAGCACACGCTCTGCACACCGAGGGAGACACTAGTTCCAGACCCGGGCACACAGCCGGCCTCGGTGCATCCTCGCGTCAAGGGAGGTGAGTGGGGGCGTGGCAAAAGGAAAAGGGCTCTAACGGGGCAAACACTCACTTCTGAGCTCACTCACTGGAGACCCAGCCCAATGGCAAAAGACCCAACGACAAGGGGACCGATGAGAGGACAGTGCAGCCTAAGGCCACCCGAGTGCCCCTTCGCCCCCCGAACTTTCCCCTGGAGACTCAGCAGGCGGAGCCCCGAGCTGCAGCGTAAGGAAACCACGAGCTCTGGGTCTCGGGCTGCAGGGCCGCGAGCGCGCGTTACCTTGCCGCACACGGGGCATCCCGAAGGCTCCTTCTTGTAGCGGACCAGGCTCTCACCGCTGGTCTCCAGGTCTTCTCTCTTCACCCGCCTGACGCCTGGAAAGCCCGCCCGCCCCAGTGAGAGAGTCAGCACGTGACAGCGGTCAGTTCCGCTTCAGCCCAGCGCCATTTCCAGAGGACGGCAGGCGGCTGCCCACAGCGTGGGGACACACGAGTGAGTGGGTGGTGTCGCCCGGCTGTGACGTGGGCCAGCACTCACCGCCGCGCCTACACAGTGGGAGCAGAGACCGCGTGTGCCTGGGGTTCACAGCGTTTGCACCCAAAACACCTCCCCTACCCCCCGCCACCCCCCACCCCCGAGCAGCGAGCGGTGTCCGTCTCACGGTGTGGAGGAGGAGTTACGATGGACGACCACCGGGCGGGTGTCCGCACCCGATGGACAGGTCCAGGGAAAAGCCAGGCCGCCTCTGGGTAGGCAGGCTTCTCATTAAAAAGGGGCCACTACTCATCCTTCCAATTAAATCAGTTCCCTTGGGATCGGGGTGCAAACTCGGATGATGATAAAATCTGTATGGTTTTAAAGCATCACTGTTCATAAATGGAATCAAAACGCTTTTAGAAGTTTGCATGAAACAGGTTATCTTTGAACAGAAGAGAGACATTCACTTCTCAGGGTCTCTTTTTCTACACGTTCCGGGACATCCCCACGTGACAGGGCGTGAAGCACGGGGCTGGACGTAAGAATGCCTGGACCTCCGCCGTCTCCACAGGCAGCGCACGTGGAGGCGCACGGCCCACAGGCCAGAGCGGGGCCTGTGCTGACTCCGGCCGAGGGTGGGGGGAGCCACGGAAGGGCCGCAGCAGCCCCGCTCACGCAGCAGAGAACATCGAGCGAGCGTCAGGTGCAACACTGAGCTGTGACGCAGCCCGGGTGCAGGCATCCACCTGTCCTCCGGGGACCACCAGCAGTGCTGACGGCGGCCGGCACGCGGGGCCGCACTCGGGACCTCACGAGCGGGGTCTGGCTCACCCCCCCCACCAGCCCAGGGAGTCCCACGCACAGGTGAGGACACTGAGGCCACCCAGTCACCACGCTTGGCTCGTGAGCCCCTCTGTGCACCCCGTACCGAGTCAGAGGAAGAAGCAGGGTGGACCTGACGAGGCCACAGGAAGCACCGCCAGGTGCAGCTGGGGAGCGGACAAGCCGAGACCCCAGGCTGGCTTAAGAAAGGCATGACGATGCGTGTGTCCGCACGCCTGTGTGGCACCGTCAGGCTTCGTACACCGCTTCCCAACGAGCATGCACGGCAAGTCCTCACGTGACGTCATGTCATCAGGAGGCTGTGCCGAAGCGTCTCTCGCTTCCACCAATCAGCCTGCGGTGGAGCTGGTTCCGTGACGGGTCATTTCACTTAGAGTCACAGAACCTGCCAGCGGTGGTGACTGCGGGCTTCACTGTACTCCATTTGCAATTCTTTAGAAAATGGTTTTTATTTCCCAAACTTTTAAGAAAAAAGCGCTTCGCTCGGTGAGGGCTGGCTAGCAGGAGCGCAGAGTCTCATTAGGGTAAGACGCCTTGCGGAGGCCTCCGGGGGTGAGGGTTCTCCCCGCAGTGCTCACGCCCTCCCTTTCGGGGTGCCGCCCGCACAGCTCTGGGTCCGACCCCCCCACTGGCCCGTTTCCAGTCCTGATGCATTCCCCCAGCTCGCCCCATCGCTGGACCCCTGAAGTCCACGCTGCTCTCGCCCCTGACCTCTCGGGGATCCACCGCCTGGACGGGCAGCCCCCGGGCCCCGAGCCTGCTACAGACGGCAGGGTGGGGGGCCCCCACAGAGAGCAGGGGAGCCAGGGAACGTCGGCCTCGGCCCGCCCGGAACACTCTGCTCCGTGCACGTGGCGGGAAGCAGGTGTCGTGCACGTTCCGCACACTGGCTTTCTCCTGCCTTCTATCACGTCAAATGCATTCGCTCACTATGTCAAAAGAAGCTCTGAAAAAATGTTCTTGATGACTGGGTAACCTTCAGTCCTGTAAAGAGCCTGGGCTCCTTAACCCTTTCCCCTCCTAACACCTGGGCACTTGCAGCTGCTCTCATTGGCACACGACTCTGTGGACCCCGTCTCCCCGCCTGAACCGAGTTCCCACAGCGTGGCGACTCCATGGGAGGGTGGCAGAGCCAAACCGCGTCCAGAGAGCTATTGGCAACATGGGCACGGCCCCTCCCCCCGCCCCAGGAGCCCAGCCCCCGGGCAGGTGTGCTCACCCTCCAGGTGCCTCCTCTGGTGGTCAAGCATGACGTCCTTGCGGTAGAACATTTTGTTGCAGACTTCACACGCAAACTTCTTGTCCCCGTGCTTCTTCTTGTGCTTGGAGAGGTTGCTGTTGGTGGAGAAGAATCTGAAACACATCTCACATTGGAACGTCTTGTCATCTGTCCGGGAAGCAAGCAGACACAGCAGCTCTTAGGTGAACGGCACCAGATGCAGGCTCCACATTGCGGCCGTGGGAGTGGGAGTGGCAGTGGGCGCAGGTGAAGGGCGGAGATGCACCAGGGCCCCTCGGCCAGGGAGCAGTGTCACCGGTGCTGCTGTGGCTTCTGCTCAAGCACCAGGCCGGAGCAAACATCCAGCTCCCCTCCTTCCACCCCCGAACCTCACCCCACCACCCTCCTCCACCTCCTCCCTCCCCGCCACGCCACCCAGTGGCTCCTCGCCAGCAGTCACAGTGCTCTTCCAGGGACTCCGTCGGTCCCCACCCCTCTCTGTCCCACTGCACTCTCTCCCTCCAGGTGCCAAGGATGTCCCCGGCTCCCCCGGCTCCCCTGAGGCCCTGCTCTGGTGGGCGCAAGCAGCATGGCCACCTCTCCAGGCGTCTGTCTTTGCCTGACCCGCCTGGCCTTTCCCCTCGGCTCAGGGACCTCAGGGCCTCACGCCCAGCACGAGTGCCCGGCCCTCTCTGCCCGTTCTCTGCTCTGCCCCTCACCCCACCCCCACTACACCTCCCCCCACAGCCATCACCCACAGGCCTGTCCCCTACACAAGCCCCGGAGGGCAGCCCTCACTGCCCACGGCCCTCCCGGAGCGCCCATGCCAGGACTCTCGTCCCCAGGAGCCCCCCCCCGCAACCCCGCAGGACGCTGTGCAGGTGGGCCTGCCGGTGCGGGCCACGGTGCATGTCCCTCTCCAGACCCAGACCCAGACCCTCGGGTCGCACCCCGTCATCCTCACTTCCGGGCCCTGGGCTCAGCCTGCTGGCCTCGCTGACGTCAGCGGACACTGCCAAACACACGGGTCCGAGGCCCCCAGAAACCTGCTGGTTTCTGCGGCGAGTCTGACTCGGGTCTCACTCTGCTGCAGCGGGGCCCTGGGTGTGTGGAAGGACCCCACACCCAGGGTCTCCCACCGGGCTCTGCTGACACGTGGGCCAGACCCTTCCCTGGGGGCCGACCTGGGCTCTGGGGTGCCTTGCAGCATCCCGCCCCGCCCCCAGCCTGCTGCGACAACCAGCATGTCCCAGGGGCTCGGGGCCCCAGTTCTCGGGTGGCCCCGATGCAGTTGGGACGCAGCCCGGGTGCATCTACATAATCTCCTGATCACACACTCACGTGTACGCGGTACGTGTGCTTATGCAAAACATGCTCACGCTCACTTCAGTGGCTACTCGACAGTCCACCCAGTTTACTTCGTTATTCCGATACTGTCGATAATTCAATGATCCGTAACAACGCAACTCCCCCCGCCCCTTTCTGCTAAGCTCCCCCAGCAGAGCTTCGCAGGAATGGGACCACCAGACCGAGGGCGCCTGCCAGCTGCTTTGTGAGGAGCCGCCTTCACCAGGCTGTTCCGTCAGGTCACAAAGACCCCTGCCCAGCCCACACCTGCTCACCCGCCCAGGTGAGCCCCCTCCGGGCAGCTGCATCCCTCCCCCGGGAACTGACAGCGTGGAAGGTGCAGCGTGCCCTTGGGCTCTAGCTTTCCCTCCCGTGAGTGCCTCCCAGTGCCCCTCCCAGCGTGTGGCGAGAGACCCCTGTAGACCATCCCGGCCAGGGTGTGGCCTCTGCCCACCGGAGGGGAGCTGCAGCAGAGCAGCCGGCGCCGGCGCCCCGCCCAGGGCGGCTGCTCCCACCGTGGCACCCGGGCACCGTCGGGAACGCTGACGGTGTGTCTGCTGCCAACACTCTCTCCCACCAGCAACCTGGGGCCCTCGGGCCCCACGTCTGTGTCTGCGAGGAATACAGCAACAGAGAACAGAGGCCTGTGCCCTGGGCTCTGGCGGAGGGTGGGGGCGCGGGGTCACCCGGAGACAAGGCGGCGGATCTCTCAGCAGCCGACCTGCCCGGGGGGCCTGGAGGGCCATGTTTTTCTTGAGGGCCTGGACAGGGGCCCTCGCCATTCCAGAGTCCGATGGCCAAGGGCAGTACGGGGACCACTCAGGAGACTTACACCAACACCCGCCCTGTCACACCCAGGACAGGGGGTGGTGAGCAAAAGCTTGAGGAAAGCCCACCGACTGCACACCCCAAAGCCCGTCCCTCACGTCACACGCACTCCCGGCTTCGTGGTCGGCGGAAGACACACATGTTCCTAACGTGAACAGGTAAAAAGTGTGACAGCAGGCAAGCACTGTGTCATGCCAATGAGCTCCATTTCCAGGTGTACCCTTCGTTCTCCACCCCAAACTTCCACGCTGCGAAACAAGAGCGTCGTCAGAAGAGAGAAAGAGCACGGCAGCCACGGCCGCCAGGGCCGCCCGGCTGCTCCCTGTACCGAAGGAGGCAGTCAGGTCAGGTCAGGTCTGGTCGGCCAGAGCTTCAACCGTCATGTAGCGTCTGCGGCTTTGACCGCTACTGTTACCCTCTGTCGTTACTTCCTGTTTCCTCTGTGTCCAGAGAGGCAGTTAGAGGACAACTCCTCCTCCTGGACCTGGGGTCGCTCACCACACACCGGACAGGGCAGGGCAGGGCGCCACCACTCTTGTTCCTGACACCCCGACAGCCCCACCCCACTCCCCCACTCGTGCAGATCCACGAGTGGCCACATGGGGCGTCGCCTGACCGGGATGACAGCCCCGCCTGCGGCTCTCTGCTGCTAGTGCAGCAATGGAGACTGCTGGGTGGTTTGGCCCCAGATTTGGGGCAACACCTGGGGTGCAGGGCTCCAGGGAATGCAGGAGCTACAGCACACTGGCAGTCTGTCTGAACACGTCCAAGGTCATTTAGTGTCGCGGGCGCGGAGGCTGCAGAGCACCTGGAGCTCAGGTGAAACAAGACTCGCCTGCCATGGGAGCAAGCGAGGCGCCGTGGAGAGACAAGCCGCGGTTTCCGACAGGGGCCCTCACAACACAACAAACGAACAAACGAGCCAAACACGGGGACACGGCAGACGCCGCCGGGCCAGGTGCCGGCTGCAGCGGGAGGGGCCGTGGAGCTGGAGCTAATGCTGGCTAAGGTTCCCCAGAGACCCACCTCAGCGAGAACCAGCACAGAGATACGAGCAACGCACACAGAGGGTCGACAGGGAAGGGCTCGGTGTCAAGGGCTAACCTGGTAGGTCTCTAAGCCGCCGGCCACAGGTCCCCCCCTCTCCCGGGTGTGCTAGGGCTCCTAGAGAGAGGGAGAACGCAAGTCACCCGCAGCGCACAGGGAGGGCGCAGAGGGGACAGGGCGGGGCTTTCTCCCCCGGCTGGGCTCCCACGCCACTGCCTCCCTGCTGTGCACGGGGATCTCTAGGTTACGTGTGCTCGCCAGCCGCCAGCTCGCCAGAGACGGCGCCCAGCACGCTTGTCCAGACCCAGGGAGCCCCCCCAGCCCAGGCGCATCTCAGCGCCAGTAAAACAGGGGCCCGCATCACTGGAGACTGGCGGGCAGACGTGGGCTCAGAGCAGCGTGGTCTGGGCAGGGCGCTGCGGTGCCCTGTCCTGGCCGCTGGGAGCTCCCCACGGAAGGGAAGGCTCATGGCTACGCAAGACCCTGCTGACAGGTGAGGGACAGGCACTCGGGCAGGCACGCCCCACCCCTCTCCATGTCTCACGTGGTCCTGGCACAAGCGCAACAGCACTGCCCACCACGCTTCGCGAGGCTGACCGGGGTCTCGAACGTGGGGCATGCACGACAGCAAGTGAGAAAGGTGAGCTCCTCTAGACGCAGGGAGCTTCCACCTGCACCTTCAGACGAGCCGATGAGTGGCGGGGAGTGTCAGAGGAGCGGTTATCTGGTGACTCCACCTTTACTCCCTTCCCTCGTCCACGGTTTCCATCCCGTCCCCCGGGAAGCGGCGCTGGACGGCGCCCGCTCACCTGTCCGGCAGTTGTGAAATTCCAGCGCGCTCTCGATGCGGAAGGTCTTCTCACAGGTGCCGCACCGGTACCTGTACTCGCTGTCCACCTGGGCAGAGGGCAGCGCGTCAGTGAGCGGAGGGGCCCGAGGAGGTTCAGGCAGAACGAGCTTCCTGATGGAACATTCTAGCAACTTTCCCGTGTGTGTGGTTTATGACGTTTCTCTATGACTCTCCTACTCAACGTGGGAAGGTGAAATTTTTTCCCTCTTCCCACCCAGCTGCCCTAGAAAGAGCGCCCACACTCAGGTGCCCGTACAGCCCGCAGCGGCCCCCTGCCCCCGCACCAGCTCCTCTGGCCACCGCCCCCCCCACCCCCCTGTCTGTGCCTGGCCAGGCCACCGGAAGGTGTCCTGAACCACCGGGCTTGGCCCTTTTGGTTCTCTCCTCTCTCCCGACTCTAACTTCTCCCCCCCACACCCTGACTGTTGGTCAGAGGCCCGAGTCACCCCGCGACCAGGAAGGGGACCCGCGGCTGCACCCACCTCGTTCCGGCTGTGCTTGTAAGAGACGTGCTGCTTCAGACTCTCCTTGCGGCTGAACAGCTTTGCACACTCCTCACACTTGAACAGCTTGTCACCTACGCAACCAACAGTGAAAGGCTGACCCGATGGCAGGCGCAACCTGAGAGACGGGTGTCCCCGAACCGCTGGCTCGCGGGGCCCACCCAGGACGGGATGGGCAGCCCCTTGGCCTCGCGGCCGCCGGCAGGGACAACAGCCGGGACTCACCGTGTGAGCGCACGTGCCTGCTCAGGTTGCTGCTGTTCTGGAAGACCTTGCTGCAGGTGCTGCACTGGTACACCCGCCGGTGCTCCCCCAGCTGCCGGACCAGCTTCCGCCGGATGCCGTGCCGGCTGGAGAGGATCAGACTCCTCTTGAGCGTGATGCTGCTGCTCTGGTGATGGGGGAACCTGACCGGGGAGACAGGCGAACGGTGAGACACCGGGGGCCCTGGGCTGTCGGGGGCAAGGGTTCAAGGCTCCAGACACCTTGGAAAGGGTCCTTCCACGTGGTCCCGGCCTGACGGGAGGAGGAAGGGGATGAGCTCAGGCATCTCCCTGAGGCCCGGGATTCCAGAGGGAGGGGCGCCTGGGACACACGATGGTGCAGGAAGCTGTCTCCGTGCCAGCCACGCGCCCTAGCAAGTTTAGCTCCGGCCACCAGGGGGCCTCGGCTCAGTCTGTGCTTCCACTCATGTGGCCACATCCACGTGGCTTTCCTCACTGCTTCCTACTTCCGCTGGGCCTGCTTTTTAGAATGTCCTCTTCCTGTGACCCTCGGAAACCCTCGGGGCACGAAGACAGACTGTGAGTAAACAAACAGGTAACCCCGTTTCTAACTCGGCTTCGGTTTCAGCGTTTCCACAGGGTTCCGGACCACGGAGGCCCAGGTGCGTGTGAAAATGGTAAAAGGAACTCCAAAAAGAGCCAGAGGGGAAAATGATCGCCAGCCGCTCATTCAACACGGTCAGGGCAGACCGTGCAAAAAAGGCAAAAGACAAAGTACACTTCCCTTGTTCGCTAGAAGAAGAAGGGAAACGCTGAGTAAGGTGTCAGATCCACAGAAACTGAAAGATGAAACTGCTTTATCACCATGGCCGAGGAGGGGAGGCGGCCCAGCGCGTGCTCGCTGGAGGCGGAGCGGCAGGGCGAGGTCTGCCCACGCGGCCGGTGGAGGGCCACTCGGCCTCGAACAGAGGCCGCCGGACGCAGGCTCCCACGCGGGGGGACCTCGCGCTGCCTGGCGGAAGCCAGGCACACAAGAACAATGCTGTGTGGCCTCACTCACACGAGGTCCCTCCAGTGTTCAGGTTCACGGACACAGAGAGCACAAGGGGAGGGAGTGATGGTTACATAGGTATAGAGTTTCCGTTTAAGGGAGATAAAAAAGTCATGAAGGTGGACGATGGGGAATCTGTGTGAACTCTACTCTGAAAATGGTTCAGGTGATAAATGTCATGCTATGCCTACTTTACCAAAATAAAAGTACTTAAAAATTTTTTCACAGTGCCATTAAACCCCTGGGTTCCTGTTGCTTCCCGAGCTTTCCTGCTTCCACCCCAAGACACAAACGCCCCCCCCAACCCCGTCACCAGGCCCTCCCTCCCAAACGGGTTCACGGCCACGGCGCTCCCTGTCCCATGTGCTTCGGCTGGACTCACTTGGGCACGGAAGTGGCGTCGCTGGGGGTGGTGGCCAGCTTCCCCAAAACCAGCTCCACGATGTGCTCGTCCGGGGTTGCAGCCGCCGGCTCGTCCGGTGGCACCTCGGTGACGATCTCCGCCACTTGCTCTGTGCAGAAGGAAGGGGAAAGGCCAGGTCACCGCCGGGGCCGGGGCAGGGGCAGGACACAACCCAACCGCGACAGCACGCCCACGGGCGCCGCAGCCGGGCCCACGGCAGGGATGGCAAGGTTTACGCGGGTGAGGAGAAGACGAAGGAACGCCAGTGCCGTTTTAGAACCCACATGTTCATCTGCACACGCAGAAAAACAAAACAGTATTCTTAACACAAAACCGGAGCTGCACACCGTGATGCCTTGTTAAAACCACAGCAGTCACGTAACGCCACTTCCATCCCTCTCCACGCCAGCCGAAAACACAGTGCTGTGATAGCTGGTGGGATCTTCTAACTTATCACATTAGTCGCGACGGAGATTTGGAGATACCAGTTTTATCATTAGATAGCCAGCCACCTTAAGTACGGTCCAAAGCAGATAACCATTCAGTGCAAGAGTGGGCTACAAAGTAACCACAGTGGTAGGGGCCCCGGCCCGGACCTCTGGACAGACAAGGCGTGGGGAGATCACACAGAACGTAGGCACCGCTCCGGCCACTTCGCCCACCGCACATCCTCCCAATGCAACTACCCACCCGGGAAACAATCACAGAACAGCTCTGTCCCTTCGCTGGCCCTCCCTGTTCAGACCAGGGGGGCGGGGTCTAACCCTCTTCTGCCCTACCAGCCCCACACAGGCCCACAGAGCGGGCTGCGCACCGGCCAGCAAGAGGAATCCTGGGATGTAACAGCGGCACCAAGGAAACGGCCCAGCGGTCAGCAGAGAGGGCAGCGAGGAGACCCAGGCCGCGGAAGTGGGTCAGAGGTCCCTCCGAACTCAACTGGGGATGTCGTCACGGAGAATGAGCTTCTGCCGGGGCTGGGAAACAAGCAAGCCAGGTGCCCACCGGCAGGTGTCGGGGCGTCCATGCAGTGGACAACACTGTTTGGCCACCGAGGGGGAGCGGCTGAAACCCAGCGTGGACGAGTCACCCCACATGCCATACGTGAGACACCTCACACTGAAGGAGACCATTCCCGCAAACTCCTGGGGTGGGCAAGGCCGATTCACGAGAGACGGGGGAAGTGGCTGGGAGACGGGAAAGTTCTGTCTTCGTCAGGTGCTGCTCACACAGGCGGACCCACCTGTCCAAGTTCACAGCCTGCACACTTTGGAGTACGAACTGTATCATGTGTAAACTATACTCCAAAAGAGCTAATTTACAGGAAAAGGGGACTTAGAGTCCACCTCCATGTGGGATTCCAACATTCAGTTTTATTGCCCTAAATGCAGGTGACAGGTGACATGGCCTCAGGTCCCTCCCAGTCTCCCAGGACCGGCCCTCTCCTGTAGGAAGAGGCTCCTCCCCCAGGACCGCCCTTTCCTGCAGGCTCCTCCCCCAGGACCGGCCCTCTCCTACAGGCTCCTCCCCTGGGGCCAGCCCTCACCCAATGGCTCCTCCCCCGGGACCAGCCCTCGCCTGATGGCTCCTCCCCCAGGACCGGCCCTCACCTGCAGGCTCCTCCCCCAGGACCGACCCTTTCCTGCAGGCTCCTCCCCCAGGACCGGCCCTCTCCTACAGGCTCCTCCCCCGGGGCCAGCCCTCTCCTACAGGCTCCTCCCCCGGGGCCAGCCCTCTCCTACAGGCTCCTCCCCCAGGGCCAGCCCTCTCCTACAGGCTCCTCCCCCAGGACCGGCCCTCTCCTACAGGCTCCTCCCCTGGGGCCAGCCCTCTCCTACAGGCTCCTCCCCCAGGACCGGCCCTCACCTGCTGGCTCCTCCCCCAGGACCGACCCTCTCCTACAGGCTCCTCCCCTGGGGCCAGCCCTCTCCTACAGGCTCCTCCCCCAGGACCGACCCTCTCCTACAGGCTCCTCCCCCAGGACCGGCCCTCACCTGCTGGCTCCTCCCCCAGGACCGGCCCTCTCCTACAGGCTCCTCCCCCAGGACCGGCCCTCACCTGCTGGCTCCTCCCCCAGGACCGGCCCTCTCCTACAGGCTCCTCCCCCAGGACCGGCCCTCACCTGCTGGCTCCTCCCCCGGGATTGGCCCTCACCTGCTGGCTCCTTGCCTTCAATGACGACCAGCGGCTGCTCTGGTTTCGAGGCTCTGGGTTTTCTCCCTCTTCGAGGCTTTTTCTTCTGCTCTTTGGCGGCACTGAAGCTCTTGGGAACCGCGGGAGGCTCCCCCCGAGACGCGTCTGGTTCCTTGTCCGGAGCCCCTTCCTGCTGGCTGGCCGGGGCGAGGCTCTTGGTTTGCTCCAAGTGGCCCAGCAGGTGCTCTGCAGCAGGGGAGGGGGGGCACATGCAGAGGGGCGTGGGGAAGCCCGTCAGTGGGGCCGCTCCCCACCCCCTCGGTTCGTTCCTTCGGTTTTACTTGACGATCACGTGCCCTCTGCAAAGGTGAATAAACTTTATGTCCACTGCTTTTGAAAGTAAAGCATTCCCACTGCACCAAACCTCACTGGTACCTTGAAAAGTCAGGTGATAAAACCAGAGCGGGTGCACCGCACACCGGTGTGTACAAACCAAATGCTTGCGGACACACACGTGTGCACACAGAAGTATCGGAGGACATGTGAGAACACCAATAATCTCTAGATGGTAACATGCCAGGCCATTCTAATTTTCTTCTCTTAGCTTATTTGTATTTCGTAATCTTTCTACAGTAAGTACATAACACGGTCACTAAAAAACGTAACCTCTAAGAGGAATATGAGAAACATTCAATCCATCCATGTCTTTAAAAACAGCACATAAAAGCAAACAACCCTTTGCTTTATTTTCAACTGATAAAAGCCTCAGAGACACCCCAAGCCAAGAGACCAGGACAAAACACGGGAGACAGGCGGCACAGCGGGTGCAAAGGGGAGAGTGGCCAGACCCCCAAGGGCAGCTGAGCCCGGCTCAGACCAGCGGGGTCTCGGGGCACCAGCAGGCAGGAGGGGGGGACCCACAGGACCATGGGGACTGACGCCCTCAAACACACTGGGGCCAAGGACGGGTTCCTCCTGCTGCAAACCTCCACTGGCTCAACTCGGGCGCCACGGAGGAAGTTCTTGCTGCGCCCTCACCGGTGTCATGCTCGGGGACACGGCGCTGGCAGAGCGCCCACCAAGCACGCGTGCGGGGGAGAAACAAACGCACACAACAGACGCAACGCTGCGTGACGCAGGTGGGAGGGAGGGAGCGTTTGGCAGCCGAGCCACACGCAGCAGAGCAAGCTGACGATGACCTGCCCGGCGGCCGGAAACACTTGGAAAGACGAGACACAGTCAGAGCCTCCCCCGGCTGTAACACGGAGCCGAGCTTAACAAGCGAAAGAGAATGAGACCGTGTGACGCCAGACACCGCAAGGGGACCTTTGAGAGCCAAAGCGCACAAACGCGAGCTGAGGGAGGCACTGGGCGGAGGGCGGGGCCTGGTCTCCTCGCACGCAGGTCTGAGGGGCACGGGCCCCCCCAGCCCCCCCCAGCCCCCCCCCCTCCCCCGCCGCCACCCAGGGCAAAGCTGCTCCGGGAGGCTGCTGGGGAGCAACCCGGTGGCCAAGCCGTGCATCTTGCCGTCTAAAAGGCGTGGTGTGCCCGAGACAGCGAACATCGCAGTGACCAACCCAGGACTTTGAAAATCCTGACGCAACAGCCCGCCCCCCGCCCCGCGCCGCCCTTACCATTCAGGAGCTGCAGCTCCGGGAAGGTGGCGGAACACACCTTGCACGCCCACTGGCTCGGCTCCGACTCCACGGGGGCGCTGCTCTCCGGGGCGCCTGCAGCTTCAAGACAGAGACAAGGCGATCCGCAGCAGCTCCTCCGTCCCCGGACGCCCCACCCCACAGAGGGTGCGCCTGTCCTCGCAGGTGACCGCCACAGCAGCGGCCGCTCGGGAGCGCTTCCGAGGGTCCAGGCACCATGCTGCCCTCGCAGTTTTACACGCACAGACTTGCTCAGTCCTCATGCATCTCCCCGTTTCTCAGATGAGGAGACCGGGCACCAAGAGGCGCAGCCACAGCAGCCTCAGGCAGGGTCTGGCTCCCGCACGGAAGCGTGTCTTCCTCGAAGAAGGCAGCCCCGGGGGACCAGGCAGACCCTTCGAACGACCTCCAGGGAAAAATGCACGCACCCTAAAGACGGAGCCAAACTCCTCAGTCCCTTATCAGCTCACACCATGAGAGAGTGGGACCCAAACATCAGCCAGTGAGCCCTGAGGCCGGTGTGGCCACGGCCTCGGCCCGGCGCTGTTCACCACGTTGGGCAACGACAGGAATTCTGTGTGACTGCGCAGTCCTGGACAGTGGCGACAGGTGCTAGTGCCCCGGGGGACTGAATTCTTCTTTCTATTTCATTTGAACTTAGATTTAAATGGCCCCCCGGGGCAGGTGGCTGCTGTCCAGGCGAGCCTCTCGTCTTTCTTCCTCTCGGGACCCCAGCGGCCAGAGGAGGGAGAAGGTGACCAGGGTCCACGGAAGACGGAGGGAGACCCTGGCTGGGGGGAGGGGAACTGCAGCCTCCTTTAAAAATGCCCGAGACCACATGGAGGGGTATCAGCGGGGAGGGGGAGGAGGAAGGGTGGGGGAAAAGGTGCAGGGAATAAGTAGCATAAATGATAAGTAGAAAATAGACAGGGGGAGGGTAAGAACAGTATAGGACATGGAGAAGCCAAAGAACTTACAAGTACAGCCCATGAACATGAACTAAGGGGGGGTGGGGATGCTGGTGGGAGGGGGTGTGCAGGGCGGAGGGGAATAAAGGGGGGGAATGGGACTACTGTAATAGCATAATCAATAAACTACATTTTTAAAAGAATGACTGATGCTCTTGTGGGACCTAAATGTTGGGGATGGGACCTCCTGGCTTGGTTTCTCTGAACCCCGCCTGGCAGCCTGTCCACGCTGGCCTGGGGCCCCGAGCTGCCACCACCACGTCCACTCCTGTCACTGTACAGCCTGTGCTGACCCTCACGGGCCACACGCACAGCTAACTCCCAGGTCCTTAACTAAACCATCCAGCATGGTGACTGCACAGGCTTTCAGTACTGGGGGGTGGGCGGGGGGTGGGAAGCACAGATCTTTCTGTATCAAAAACGAGCAACAAGGTTGCAAAGAATGGAAGAAAAAGATGTCAACCTTTGCTACCACTGTTTTCATGCCCCTTCGGAGTCCTTGCAAGATTAAAAAAGAAGAAACGTAAGCGCACTGTGAAACTTCTGTTATGCTAAGAACAAACAGCGAGCAGAGGGTCAGGAGGGAGCGGAATGGGAAGCAGGAGCCCGTGATGGGCCGCCCCCTGCCGCCCCGCCCCATCTCTGCACGGCCCTCTGGGAACCCCCGCTCGGAGGGAGAGCATCGGGACATGGGGGCGAGCAGAGGTCAGAGCCAAGTTCCGGTTTCTCACTCACCTCCTCACACACACAGGCATCTAAGAGGACAACCGCCCTTGCCCAGGGGAGTCCCAGGAAAGGACGGGAGGCGGGTTGGCCTGAGGCTGCCCTGGCCGACCCACGTGAGTCAAGGCCCGTCTCCTGGAACAACGTCACTACCGTGAACGTGAGTTCAACCCCCCGAGCAGGGGTCAACAAGACTAACGAGAAGACCTGGTCGTGACGACTGTCCCCTCACCAGGGGAAGGGCTGCATGTCCCCAAAGGTAAACATTCTTAAGGAAGAAAACAGCCAGCAACCAGAAGGCAACGCTCGACAGCCCACAAAAGAGCAGTGTCTCCCCAGGGTGTGACACCGTGGCCAGGACACAATGCCACAGAGACGGAGGCCGCAGGGAAGGTGCTCCTCCAGGGGGCAGCGAGAAGGGGCGCAGGTAAGGGAGAGCGGGCAGTGAATGGCACGCACGGCAGGGCCAGCTGGGTAAACACGCACGGCGTTCTGGAGCAGGGAAGAGACGGGGAACACCGCGCAGAAAGGAGCTCGCCAGAGCCCGGGCCGCTGCGTGCAAAGCCCCTCCCGGGGTGAGGAGCACGTTCTCCCCGCCGACTGGGGCGGGGCTCACACCCCTGCGCCCGCCCGTCCGTCAGGGCTCTCGGACCTGCACCCGGACGTCTCCGCATCTCCCTGTGTGTCATCCACGCGTCACCCGTGCTGCTCTAAAGGACACTAGCACGAGCCGGCCAAAAGCGCCGAGTCGTCGAGTTAGAACGGTGATGCTCTGTGTGGTTTAGAGCACGTGCCCACATGCATGACATGTGTGCATGTGTGCACGCCTCACCTTTTTCATCGCAGAGGCAGTTTCGGGGACCCGGTGTCGGCGGCCGACCCTGAGCCCCACAGCCGCCCGCTCAGACCCACCATGGTGGCCGATAACTTTCACTGCATTCAAGAACTGCTTGTCATTTGTCCCGGAACAGAAAACCATGAACAGTATGTCCAAAATTTCAGAGTACCTAAGTTCACCGGTCTGGGATGACCACGCCCCCCGGGCCATGCTGGCTGTCCCGTCGTTGACAGTGTCCTCCATTCTCAGAAGCCTAGAGGAGGGACCACGGTCACCCTCGTGATCCTGACGGCCAGTGCTGGGACGACACAGCACCAGGCTCACTCCGTCCAAACCTGTTCTCTCAAACCTCAGCTCCGGGTGGAAAAGCTCTCTGGCAGGTAAACGCAAACGGAACAACTACAACTCCAACAAGTGGCACCAGCCTTTGCTTTGACCTTGACCTTGAGCATCATGAGGGTGTACCACCATCATCCAGGACGTAAGAGACAAGGTCAGCCTCTAACACCCCAAATCCCGACGTGCAGCCTGGGCCGCTCCCAGGCACACACGGTGCCAGCTGCTTGGGCCGGGAGGCATCGGGGACGCGAGAGAACCAGGTCAGAAAGAGCCCGGCGACCTCGGGCCGCGCCTGGGGAGGCCAGCTCGGCACGCTGGGAAGTGCCGCCCGACCCAGTGGGGCGCCGCAGCGGTGCCTCCCGGGGGGGCCAGGCGCCTGCTCGTAGCAGACCCCAGAGGGCGGTGGAGAGTCACCGTCCCTCCAAACCCTTTCCGTCCACTTCCCTGCCGAAGCAAGAACACCCCATAAAGCCCAGCCGTCCTGTGAACGTCTCGGGGAAGGGGTGAACCCCCACCGCCAAGCTTCCTCCATTGTCCTGCTGCCGCCAGACCGGCAGTGGGGGGCCGTCTGGCACCCCCGACACTCCCCATGGACATCCCGGGGGCTCCCCACTCCACCAGCCCCCACCCAGCCTGCAGTGGGTTGCACAGGGGCCTGGAAGCTTGGGATAGAGCCCCTGCAGTCGTCATGAGAGTAAGGTGAGGTCAGGCTGGAGGAGGGTGGGCCCCACACACGGTGACTGTTGTCCTTGTAAGAACGAACACAGGGACACAGGGAGAGGCCTCGTGAAGCTGCGGCAGGGACCACAGTGATGCAGCCACAAGGCACCAACGCCAGGGGCTGCCCGCAGCACCAGAACCCAGGAGACAGGCTGCAAAGGATTCTCCCAGAGCCAGCCCCGCCCCCACCTCCATCGCGGACTCCTGGCCTCCGGACGGCATGGGACAATCTCTTCCTGCTGTTTGGGCAGTGTCACCGAGTCCTCCCCTCACACAGTGCCGGGTGTGTCACCCGGGGCAGCTCCCCAGACCTCGGCCACCTGAACACACACAGGACACACAGACCTTCTGAGCGAGGAGGCTGAGGCTCTGGCTCTGGCGCCGCTCCCTATCACATTGGGTTTGTAACAAAAAGGAAACAAGCCATTTGCTGCTGCAGGCCTGCCACTAGGGGGCGTCGGGGCAATGATGTTCGTGGCAACAAGAAAACAGGTCTCCCCCACGGCACCAGGGGGAGTGCACGCCAGCGCAGCTATGATGGGTGCAAGACGTCCGGCATCAGCCACGTCCCCGAGGACCCGCGCCACCAGCCACCAAGACCCACGGGCAGGAGAGATTCAGACTCAACGGGTCTCCTTCACGAAGCGATGCTGGAACCCTGGTTCTCCGGACACGACTGATTGGCTTTTCCAACAGGAATGGCGGGTTTGGGCCAATCGCACGTGTGACTTTCACCGGGTCTTTCTCTGAATGCGCACACGTGCACGCATGCACACACATGCACGTACCCCACATTCTGGAGGAGGCTGTAAGGGGGACCGCACAGCCCCGGAGCCAGACCCTCCATCTCCTGCACTGTGACGGGGCAGGCTCCTCGCCCTCTCCGGGACCGGTTCCCCCTGCCCCACATCAGAACAGCGCCCGGCCTCGGAGGACCAGGAGGAGCTGCAGTGTGGGAAACCCGGGGGCGGGGCAGGGCAGGGCCGGGCCAGGACGTGGCTGGCTGTGTCCAAGGGCGGGCCTTACTGCAGCAGAGCTGAGAGGCACGACTTCCCACCCGCAAACGTCTGGCTTAGGGGAGAGCTCTTCGAGCTCTTCTGCTGTCCGTCAGCCTGGACACTTACCAAGCAGAATGGCAGGCCCAGCCACGTGGGGTCAAGACCACCCCACGCCCTCCCCACGCCCAGCCAGCTCGCCAGGCACAGCCCCTCACTGCCGTCGGGCCCCGCCCCTGCATGCAGCCCGGGGGCCCAGCCCACGAGAGGCCGCCACGTACCGTGGGCCCCGGGGCAGGCCTGCTTCAGCATGGGCTTGTCCATCTTCTTGGCGTAGAAGGCGGCGTACCACACGCGCAGCTCAGTGCCCGGCGGGATGTCCCTGGAGGTGGTGAAGTACACGTCGCCGCCGTGCTGGTAGGCCGTCAGGTTCTGGTGCGCGGGCTCCGCCGCCGGCCGCACCAGCATCATCCAGTTGCAGTCGTCCTCGTTGGAGGTGTCGAAGCACACGGGGTGCCCGTCCTTCTGGAACACCTGGGGGGGGACCGCCGAGCAGGGTCTGGTTACCCCCAGTCTGCATGCGTGTCAGCATGTGTGTGTGTGTGTGTGTGTGTGTGTGTGTGGGTGTCGGGGGTGGGGCTGAGCAACCACTCTAGACGGTGCTACATGGGGGGCCAAACCAGGCTCCGTGCCCGTCCTATTTAGGGGGTTACACTAGTTAGGAGGGTCTCAGGCAGGTGAGGTTGGTCATGGGGGAAAGAGAAGAGGTCGATACAGTGAAAGACCCAGGTGTCATCGGCAAACCCGAGCGCTACGCCTGGCCCAGGTGGGGACTGAGAGACCTGAGGTCTATACCTGGTCCAGGTGTCGCTGGGACACTTGAGTTCTCTGCACAGCTCAGCTGGGGATCAGGGTGCCTGATTTTGACCTGTGGCCCAGGTGGGTGGCTGGGTAGTGCTACTCGTGGTCCAGGTGGCACCAGGAAACCCGAGGCCCACTCCAAGGCCCAGAGTTATCGGGAGACCTGAGTCCAACGCTCGGCCGAGCTGGGCAGGGGGACACCTGAGGTCTCCTCGAGGTCCACTCGTGGACAAACTCTAGTCAGCTGTCAAGCGGGCATGAAAGCATCTGAGTTCACTCTTGGTCTAGGTGGCATCAGGACACCTGAGTTCAACACCTGGCCCACGTGTCACTGGATTGTCTGAGCTCTACACCTTGTCCGGGTACCAGCGGGACACCTGAGTTCCACGCACGACCTCGCTGGGAATGAGAATGACTGAGGTCTACTCCTGACCCAGGTGGGAAACGGACACCCGACTCCACACCTGCCCGTGCCCCGGATGGGAATCCGGATGCCTCGGTTGTACTCAAGGTGCAGGTGTCATTGGGCTACCTGGGCGCTACACCTGGTCCGGGTGTCATGGATTCTCCTGAGTGCTATGCACGGCCCAGGTGGGAAGTAGGGTGCCAGGTTGTACTCACAGTCCAGATGGGCATCGGGACACCTGAGTTCTCCCAGCCCTATTACAGGGTGTGCAGTGACTTAGGCAAAGCCCCCTGTCTTTCTAAGACGAGCCCTGCTCTGTAACAGAGCACTGTTCCTTGTGCATTCAATGCGAGCAGGGAGCAGGGGGAGAAACGAGTGTTTTGAAGTTCAAAGGAAGCACACAAGTACAGTGGTTCTCGTCTCCTATTTTCTGATGCGAGTGTTACTTCCTCACTTTCTCACGTAGGAGAGAAATCTCTCCCTTCTCCTGGGCTTTCCCCGTAGGGGCTCCCCACTGCGACCGAGCTGGAGGCCCCTCTGAGGGGGGAGCCCTCGGAAACTAGGGAGAGGGCAGAGGGGGCCACCGGGTGCCTAGTGACCCCAGCTGCTGTGGGGGTGCGCTCCCGGGGGACCCTCCGCCCTCCCTCCCTGCAGGGGCAGAAAGCCGCCCCAGGCACACGGGTGCTCGAGGCTGAGCTGGGGCCGGGACAACTCATGCCAGACGCAGACCCTCAGCATCGTGTCACCGAGAGAATCCAGGAGGCGCACACTGGAGCCTCGGCCCACCGGGGCTCTGCACCACACGGCCCAGGCCCCACGGAGGCCAGCAGCCAGCAGCCTCTCTTTTCGTCCTTTCTCTCTGGCAAACAAGCCAAGTGCCTTTACTTCCCCCTCGTTTTGCTGACATTGGCCTTGCAAGTTTCTTTTCCCAAGGACTGCCCCAAACCTGAGGTCATCGATTTCGTCTCCATCCCGAAACGTGGGTCCCTGCTGAGGGTGTCCAGGAAAAGCCCACCTCTGTGGGCAGCTGCTGCCCGCCCCGCGCCCCGCCCTGTTCCCCACTGCTCCTGCTCGGGCTGGCTCAGGCCGGTGCTGCGCCGGGCATGGGGACGGCCCACAAACAACACCTGCACCCCCCGGCCTGGGGGGTGCCCATGGGCCACACTTCAGTGCTGTAAGCCTTCCCTGTGCCTTCTGTCTCACTTTTCTCAGTTCCACACGGTAGCTGACCCACCCCTGTCTGGCGGGCTTTCGGAGCCACCACACTGTGCCGGGGTCCACCGTGGCCCAGACACGGCGCTGTCCTCTGGAAAGGGCCGGGCAGAGGACACTGGCTCTGCCCTGGGGTGGCGGCAGGCAGCCCTGCCAGCGCACGACTGCCAGAGAGGACAGCACCGCCCGCCCCTACGGCCGGTCACTTCCTCCCAGGTCGTGGCGGAAGGGAAGGCAGCATCTGGGTCTCCTGGTGCCCGCGTTCTAAACACACTCCCTTCCGCGTCTGCGAAGTGGGAAACGACAAAATGCTGACTTAACCTGGATGCTCCCGTGTCGTGAAAAACACACTAGAGGGAACAAGGGGGACACTCTGCAGGAAAGCGAGCAGAACTGCACCAGCCGGAGCCATTTCCAGGACGCCTGGAGCCACCGGCACTCCGGCCCCGGCGCCCGCTGGCTCGGAGGACGGTCACACGGCGCCCGGCTCCCCGGCACGGCCCTCACCTTCAGCGGAAACGCGGACTCCTTCTCCCACTTGGCGACTCTCCTCGACTCGAAGGGGCCGAACTGGGTCCGCTTGACGAGCTGCGTCACGGCGAACACGCCCTCGGCTCCGTCCTCCAGCCGCCGGATCTCCAGGTTGGAAGGGAGGGACGACCTGACCGTGGAACAAAGCCGGTCCCTGAGCGCCGTCGGGCTGCAGCCAGGCCAGCACCCAGACACGGGCGGTGCTGGTGAATGAAAGCTCGCTGTCGCCCACCACCCAGGGCAGCCAACGGAGGGCCATCTACGAGAGGGCAGTCGCAGTCCCCACCCGCCCGAGGCAGAGCCAGCACACCCGTCCGTCCTCCGGGTGTGGGGTGCGGTGGGCCAACGGGCACCGCACAGACAGCCCTCGCCTGCAGAAGCACCCGGTCCGGGAAAGGGGAAGACCACAGGAGCCCCGAGACCAGGCGCCACGTGGGAAGTTCCACGGGAAAGGCGGGAAGAGCCACGGCATTCCAAAGGCCAGAAAGGGGCTTCCAGCTGGGCTGGACTGGCTGCCTTCATGGAGGAGGTGGCCTTTTTGGGTAAACTAGGAGAGTGTCCAGGATGCGGTGCCACGGGAGAGGGCACAGGGGCTGGGCCTCCAGTGCGTGCCAAGGCACCAGTGGGGAACCCGACCGCGGACAGTCCCGCTGGGGGGCGAGCGTTCCCAGTGGGCTCTGCAGGCAGTGGCAGGCGGCCGCTGAAGGCTCTGGGGGAGAGCCGATCCAATCTCCATGCAAAAATATTAATCTCTCTGTTTTGAGAAGGTAAGTCACAGTGAGAAAAAGTAAATAAATAAAGAGGCTGGACAACCGGTTGGGGGGCTTCCAGAAATAGCACTGAGAAGGTAAGTACACGTCTCCACATGCCAGGCACTAGACCACTACAATGACACAGTGATTGTACGGGGCTCTGTTACTCTGCTTGCTCTACAGACGAGGCAACTGAGGGGCAGAGAGAACGCCTCATCCAAGTTCAAAGAGCTGGCATGTGGCCGACCCGGGCTGTGAACCAGCAGCCACTCAGCCCTTGCTCCGGCCCAGCAGGTGACACGGCCCCCACAGGGACATGCGGAGTGGCAGAGCCACCGAGCCTCCTGACTAGACCTGCAGGTGCTTATCCGCGAGCTGCCGTGGCTTCTTGCTGCCTGCACTCGCTGCCGCCCCCGGCCCCACCCCTCCCGGCCAGGCCCATGGTGGGCGTCCGCCAGCAGGAGGGCAGGCCCAGATCCGGCCACAGGGGACCCGTGCGAGCAGACCCGCCACTTGGCCGTCGCCCCCCAACCCATAAACCAGCCCAGCCAATCGGTTCCTCCATGGTGCCCATCCTGGTCTCCTCCGCCTGGCTCCTCAGAGCCACGAACCAGACATGAGCCATCCCCTCTGCAGCCTCAGAAACACGCCTGGTCCTCCTGGGGACACGCGATACGGCCCACTGGGGGACGGAGGTCACAGACGCCGTGCGAGGCCAAGGGCAGCCCCCCTCACTGGAGTCTGCCCTCCCCCTTCGGCCGCGTCCTCCCTGCTGGCAGACGTGGGGGCCGCCAGGCCCTCACTGCAGCCGCCACACAGACCGCCCCGTCGGCCAGGCAGACCTGGAGGAACAGCCAAGGCGGTCACTCACCTGGCCCTGCTCAGCACGAAGGAGTCCTTGACCATGACCACGGGGCCCAGCTCCGGACACTCGGAGTCGTGGTACTGACTGCAGTCTTCACACCCTGCAAACACACGTCTGGCGTCAGGGCGGGGCCCCCGACAGACGCCGCTGGGCCCCAGGCCCCGGAAGCTCGGACTCCCTGCCCATCGGGGGGCTGACGCTGCCCCCCACATGCGTGAGACAGTGCAAACACAGGGCGTGCTCCCCGAGCAAAGGCCCGGCTCTGCGGGGCGTTTCGGTGGGAGGAGAGGCTTCCCAAGGGGTGGCGACAGATGAAAACTCACCCGCCGCGCAGGTTTACGATAAATCTAACGCATCGCACGTCACTTTCCAAAGCCCTGGATTACTTTTCTGGATCGACTGCCGCCCCCTGCCAAGTGCCCTTGGCCGGGGACTCTGGGAAAGACGAACCTCTTAAAACGCCACCCCCGCCACCCATGTCTCTCGTGTAATAAACCGTGTTTCTTAAGGCGAGTAAAATCACTTCAACCGAAAAAGAGACAGCACTTCTGTACTGGAAAGGCACAGCGTGGACCCGAGGACGCGACTCTGCCCTGACAGCCGGCGCCACCCCCCGCCCCGAGACACGCCGGAGGAGGGGCTGGGCCACTCACAGATGAACATGATCTCCTCACTGCCGTCCTCGGCCATCGCTGCCACCTGTCGGGACACGGGAGAGCGGCGTTAGTGACGGGCTTTCTGCCGAAGCGCTTCTGAAAGGAAAGTTCCCACGCACAGCCTCCCGGCGCCCAGCATGCAGTGGGCCGCCCGCATGGCAGGACGGGGCTGGGGGCCTCGGAGTCTGTTCTCGCCTGAAACAATGTTGCTTCTTCATGCGAGCCACTGACTGGGGCGACTTCTAGATTAGGGAGCCTTCATGAATGCAGACTTTCACCTTTTTATATCAGCCATGCTTTCATTTGTAAAATAAATACGTCACCATTTTTTTAACTTTCTTTTTTTTTAGATTTTATTTATTTATTTTTAGAGAGGAAAGGGAGGGAGATAGAGAGAGAGAGAAACATCAATGTGCGGTTGCTGGGGGTCATGGCCTACAACCCAAGCACGTGCCCTGACTGGGAATTGAACCTGCGACACTTTGGTTCGCAGCCCGCGCTCAATCCACTGAGCTACGCCAGCCAGAGCTAATATGTTACCATTTTTTAAGAGCCAGTTTTCACAATCCCACTTCCCCCGCCCCCGGACTGTGAATTCTTCCAGGACGACTGCGTCTGGGGCAACTTCTGTTCTTCTTCAGCTGCCGGCTCGTGCCCGAAACCCATGGGCCTAAAGCAACCATGACACCGCGGAGGAGGGCCCCCTGCTCGCCACGAAACCCGTCAGACCCAGTCATTCCAAGTTCCTAATCATCTTTTGAAGTACAGCTCCACCGCAGGCAGCTGAGATTAGGCCCCCCGCATATTTGCAAGGTGATCTGGACATGTTAATTCTAGAGCCTGGAAATAAAAAGGCTCACCTCACGCAGTTCTGGGGGAGCAGAAAGGGCGATACACCACCCAGCACGTGTTGATCCCATAATGTGTCACTGCATAAATGATCCCCCCTCCCACGCCCTCCATCCCCAGAGAGGCCAACCCAGTGCACCCTCCTGCATCCCACTTCTCGTCCCACCCCCTGTGATGTGGACACCTTTTGGGGAAGGGGTGCAGGCTGGCGCTTCCTGAAGGCTATTCCGCAAGGCACCCCTCTCCCAGGAGCTGGAAGAATGACACACAGACAACGCAAAGTCCAAATGAAAACTCGGATTTGCCAACACACGTTTGCCCTGTGGCAGTGAGGTAACAAGGAAACAAGGCAGAGAGACCGGAATGCCAATGTGCCCTCAAAGTGCCAGAAGACAAATAACCTGGGGGTGTTTTTTCCTGCAGTCTCTACTACTACACTTCGTACCTCCCTTGGCCACGCCCGCCTTCTCCCACCTGGACGGTGGCTCTCCTGCGCTGCCCTGGCAGGCCCACCCACTTCCCACGCGGCACAGCGCTCTTCCAGAACCCAAACCCAGTCGTGCAAGTTGCCCAACTGACACTGAAGGCTCCCTGTGCCCGCGACCTCTGCCCCTCTGTGCCGCGGGCGGACGCCCACTCTTGCTCATTGTCTCAGTTTAATTGTCACTTCTCTGGGCAGCGCTCTCTGATCCACCTGCCCAAATTAGGGCCCTTGTAACCCTTCCTGCAAGCAGCCCGCAATTTCCCGTCACCACAGCTTTCACCGCGGAGACCGTCCGTGTGTGTGTGTGCTGCTTATCTGGTGTCTCTCCCCCCACTGGACCTGGGGGCCAAGAGGCAGGAACCACCTGCACATGCTCAGAGCCTACATGGCCGGGCTCTGGGTCCCGCCCCCCGAGCAGACCAGGTCCGGAGCCAGGTCCTGCTCCTTTGTGGCCTCCTGGGGGGGTGGCTGTACTGGCCTGTCCTGCTTCCACAGGGCTCCTGCCTCCCCTCCCTCGGACACCGAGATTGGTTACGGGTTTTCAGCAACACATACTGGAAAGAAAGTTTGAACAGAAAATCTCTGCTGGTCAAGAAATCTCGCAAACCAGTAATGCTGCTACAGGCAAGGGCAGCTCTTCAGGAAAGCGCCTGGGGTCCCCGAGAACACTTGATCGGCTCTAAGGAGACAGCGTCCCGCTCTCGCCCAGGCATTGCTGGGACACCCACCGCTGCCACCAGGCTGTGCTAACGGGTCACGTTAGCTGGGGGGGCGGGCCACGAGGGAGCCCCTCCTCCCGCGGACACTGCAGGATGCGGGGCTGTCGGGACCTGCTGGAGGGACGACAAGGGGGCTGGGGAACGACCCAGACGTGGCCAAATAAATGTGTCCTCATCTTCCGCTTCCAAGGAGAAGCTGGCCAACACTTCAGCTCCCCACGGAAACACCACGTATTCCACAAGGGGGGAAAGATCTAGAACAACACGCTTTCCTGCAGCCACCAGGCAGGTTCCACACAGTGTCACACCTGTCTGGGGCATGAGTGCGCTGAGCCTGTGTCCATACCACGCCCCCCAGCGATGGCCCAGGGCTCCGGGGGCCACGGGGGCCACGGCACCAGAGCCCGGCCCTCGGGCAGGCAGTAGGGGGGCCGGGTCCTCTCTCGGCTGCGGGAGTGCACCACCCCGGACTGAGATGTGAGGCACCCCACTGCCACCCCGGCGTGGCAAGCACAGAAACCTCATCACAGGACTTCGAGTTCCCGCACACGTTTTCTGCAAAAAGCACGGCGTTGCTGCTCCACCCCCGGAGTTCTAAAGCCCGCAGATCTTCGAGGGCTGGCCTGCCAGGGCCAGGGAGCGGCCCTTCACCCGCACAGGCCCCGCAATCAGCCCCCAGGCAAGCGGGGCCCCCCAAGAGGGCCCTGGGGGGCAGGGGAAGGAAGCGCAGGCTCAGTCCATGGCAGCAGACGTTTCTTAAGACTATTTACTGCGGAGGTGACGACGCTCGTCCCTCAAACACACAGAGTCCTACGGCACTGGTCCTGCTGGCCTGGCTGACTTCAGTCGGCACGACGACCTCACGGTTCATCCACGCGGTGGTGGGGGTCAGAACGTCCTTCCTCTTCACGTGGGATCGTGTTCCATGGTCTGGATGGACCACGTTTTGCGTGTCTGTCCGTCTGCTGTCGGACGCTTGGGTCGCCCGCCTCCACGTTTTCCCTGTTGTGACCGACGGCCGTGGGGAGCACACGCGTGCAGATCCCTCCTGAAGGCCCTGCTTCCGCGCTCCGGGGCACGTGCACTGGGCTGGCCGAGAGCCGGCTTGGTTTTTTTAGCAAAATAAAAGACGCGCTTTTCATTTTCACCAGCAACTTCACTAACGTGGGTGTTTTGAGCATGTCGGCTATCTCCTGCGTGGTGTAACATCGATTGTTCTCAATTAGCGTTTTGACTGGATCGCTGTCAACTTCAGCTGGTCTCCCCGACCGCGGAGCTTCCACCGCCCAGCGAGACGTCTCCAGCCGGAGCTTCGAGAACCGCTTCTGGCAGGTTCGCCCAGTTCCAGCACCTTCTCCACACTCTGCCCAGACCTGCTCTCGAGTCTCAGCTGCGGTTTTTTCCTTCCTTGGAATAATAAAGCATGGTGTGCTCAAAATGTTGCTTATCTTCTTCCATCTTCAACGTTAAAAGAGCTACACAAAAATTTACCAGTTTGGTACGTTGTTTTAAATGCACACTAATGACAGGGCAGCTGTCACAGTACAATCTCACAAAATAATTCTGGATGAAGTTAAACACAACTAAGCGGCACTAGAGCCATCACATAGGAAAAACCAAAGGAACGTTTTGGCCAGCCCAGTGCTTACAAAGGGGGCGGCTGGGCCACGTGACCACTCTGCGTGCAGTTTTCTGAGGGGCCCCCGTGCTGTTTTCCACGGCGGCCACCCCACGGTACACTCACACCCACGGGGCACAAGGGTTCCCATCTCTCCACACCCTCTCCAACACGTGTCATTTTCTGATTTTTAAAAAATACAGTAGTCATCCTCAAGGACGTGAAGTGGTTAAAAGATTATATTTTAATGTGATCTACAAAGGCTGGGTTTTAGGAAAAGTAATCAGCTTGGAAACATTGGAAAATAAAAAGCCTTATAATTTTAAAACCCAGGCAGTGAAAATAACTCAGAGAAAAAGGCGTTTTCGGGGAGGCTGCCCACGTGACTGTGAAACGAAGATCACCTGGTCTGCGACCCCGGCGGGGCGTGCCTGGCCATCCCGCCCACTTCCATGACAGAGGGGGACAGACATAGGAGGGGGCAACGAAGGCGGACGCCCCGGGAGTCTGTTCCTGGCCTGGGTGACTTCCCACAGCTTGTCAGGGTCCACAGCAGCCCTCTCCAAGGGACACAGAAGGCGAGCCACACTTGTAATATGATTTTGGCTGCTGTTTAGTTTTGAACTATTATAGATTCACGGGAAGTTTCAATTACAGCACGGAGAGGTCCCATGAACCTTTCCCAAGGTTTTTTCCCAAGGCTTATAATTTACCTAACTATACACAATACCCAGACTCTCATGTGACTGTAGCACTAAGACCTGCACGCTATCGAAACCAGGGAACTGACCTTGGCCCCGCACATGTGCACGTAATTCTGTGTTTTCTCACAGGTGTAGGTTCACGCACCCACCACCGCAATCAAGGCCCAGGACTGTTCCGTCGCTAAGAAGACCTCGACCATGGGTCCCCGTTACAGCCACCTCCCGTCCCTCACACTATTCCCAACTCCGTCTCTGTAATTTCTCAGTTCAGGAATGTAATATGAATGGAATCATACAGTGTGTGATCTTCGGAGACAAGCTTTTTAAAAAAAAACCTGCACATAATGCCCTGGAGACCCATCCAGGTCGCTGCGTGTATCGATAGTGCATCCCTCTTTCCTGCTGTATAGTATTCCACGGCACAGCTGGGCCATCCGCTCCCTGAAGGACACTGGGGTTTCTCCCCATTTTTGCCCAGGACAAATAAAGCTGCTATAAAAACCACGCTCTGGTTTTTCCGTGGACATAAGCGGTCATCCCTCCGGGATAAATGCCCACGCGTGCAGTCTCTGGGCCGCGTGTTAAGTGGACACTGGGAAAACGGAAGGCGGCAGGAAAAGAGGACAACCACGCACCAGAGGAGGTGGCTCTGGTAACAGAAGCCACGGG